GTGGAAGGAAAAAACATTCTTAACTTTTAATGTAAGTGAATGGAACCAGACTTTTTTCTGAGTCATTTTGGGCCGTCGCTTTTGGTCCATTCACCATATACTTTAACAGGCATTTTCAAATTATGCCAACAACTGTAAAATGACAAAAATGGAATTACGAGGTTTTGTTCCGACAACAGCGCAATATGTAAATATAGGCAAAAGTACACACAAACTGGGTGTAATATGGCTTTTACTACTGTTTTTGGCTCTGCAATGCATTTTTATCCATCACCGTACAGTGACCAAGGCAGATTAACTCAGAATGTAGTGCAGTGAATTGAACGCTGTAGCAGTACAATACTATAAGTTGTATTTTCACTAAAACAGAGGTTTTCCACTGAAAGCACACAACTTGATTTTCTCAAAAGCAGTTTGCTGCTGCCATGTTAGCTGCCACTGAAGGTACATTTCTCAGGCCTTGTTTGAGGCAAAATGAAATGGGTTCATTACCTGCTAAAAGTAGAAATAGGAAGGAAAAGTTAACAGAAAAGTAATTTTAGCAGCGTAGTGGTTGAAGCATTTGTAATGCAGCTAAAGCGTATTTGGTCCGTGCTGAGAGCTGATTGGATCACTGACCTAGTGATGTCATTCTAGTGATCGGAAAAGTTCTGTAGACCACGTTTCCAATGTCAGGGTGATGTATGAGGGCTTTAGTGTTTATATTTATGAACATATGGGGGTGCGTGTGCGTGTGTCTGTGTGTGTGTGTGTGTGTGTGTGTGTGTGTGTGTGTGTGTGTGTGTGTGTGCGCGGAGGGAACTCTCTGCACCTGTGTTTTTGTTTTTTGTGTCACGGCGGGGTGGTGATCTCACCCCCCTCCTTTTTTTTTAAGTAGCTCTCTAGTTCTTCCACTCTTTCTTCTCCCACGTCTCTCTCGCCCTCTCTGTCTCTCTTCTTCTCTCTTCCTCTCTTTCTCTATCTTTCTTTCTGTTTATTGTCGTTCTCTTTTTGCTTTTCCTTTCTCTCATTTCTTTTTTCTTTTCTTTCTTCTTTTCACTCTTTTTAATACTTTATATCCTTTATATCTCCTCCTTGTTTCTTTCATTCTCTTTCATTCTCTCTCTCTCTCTCTCACTCACTTTTCTGTCTGTCTTTATCTTGCTCTGTCCCTTTTGTCTCTCCTTGTCTTTTACTTTTTTCTCTCTCTCTCAAAACTTTATTTCTCTCTTTCTCTCAGTCCTTCTTTTTCTTTCTTTCTCTATCCTTCTTCTATTTCTCTTACCCCTCTCTATATCTTCCTTTATCTTTCTTTCTTTCTTTCTTTCTTTCTTTTCTCTCTCTCATTCTCTTATTTTAGTCTTTCTCTCTATCCTTTTCTTTCTTTCTTTCTCTTTTGCCCCTCTCTGTCTCTTTCCCTCTTTCTCTCCTTCTCTTTTGCCTTTTCTTTTTCTTTCTTTCTCTTTTCCTCCTTCTTTCTTTCGATCTTTCTCTCTCTCAGACAGAGAGCAGGTGCATGGGGCTTGTGCTCCTGTTCTGAAAGTCTGCTTCTGTCTTTTCATTGACAGGCCTTTCCGTTTCTAACCCACAGCGTGCACATTTCTCTCTCTCTCTCTCTCTCTCTCTCTCTCTCTCTCTCTCTCTTTCTTTCAATTACAAATATGCGCAATGCACAAAGTTGACAGATGCTCTCACAAAAGAACATTAGCAAAACTCTTTTTGAACAATGACTCTCTGTCTCTCTCTTCCCTCTCTCCATCTCTCTCTCTCTCTCTCTCTCTCTCTCTCTCCCTCCCTCTCTCTCTCTCTCTCTCTCTTTATCTCGCTCTCTCTGTGCTTGTCTGTCCGCTCATTTAATCCTAATGCGCTTTACTGGGTTTCCTGTTAGCTGACAACATGGCTTTTCAAACAATAACAGAAGTGACACATGAAGAAACAAAAGTTTTTTTTATTGTCAGTTTCACAAAATGAAATCATCATCAAATGATCTCTTGAGTTAGGTGTGAGCATCATGAATCTCTTGTATGAAATCCATTACATCAACACAATTTTATCTACTTTTGGCAACAGCTGTAACATAATTTTGTTGTCATAAGTAGGGCTGAATATTGTTTAAGATGTTTTAACACTGATACCAACAGCTTACCTTTCTTTGATACTGATTCTTGAACAATACGTTTTCTGATACTTACTTTTCTACTGCAAACTGCAGTGCAAAGTGAGTGTGGCTTAAACCAGAAGACTAAGGTGCTGGATAGTGGGTAGATTTAGGCCCAATCCCATTTTACCCCTCTGTTTTGTGTGTTCATGTCTAGGGGTAGGATTCCTGATTTTTGTTGAGATAAAGGGGTAGGGCGAAGTGTTAGGACTACACAGCCCTCCAAACTGGGGTTTTTGAGAGACACACTCCAAACAATGTGTTATGACAGAAAAGCAAGATGGAATGTAAGTATTTTTTCCGTTAAAAAACGATAACCATTTTATTATCTTATTTAAATTTAGGGAATCACACGCTTTCAGAAAAGGGGGATGCGACAATTATTTATTATCGCCCACCCCTAATTCTTCAGTAATGTGAAGCTGAAGTCAGCTATTCGCCAGCTTCTTGTTTGAATTTTCCCGTTCCACCTTAAATAGTGCAGCAGTTCTAATGCCTGAGGTGCCAGAATGTAACTGCTGCACCATTTAAGGTGGAACAGGAAAATTAGTAATCTTGTACGTTAGCGCATGCACGTTACGCTATTCTCCTAAAGGTTACTATTTTGTTTACTTACGTTTGGCGATAAATAAGATGGTGTCATGTAGTTTATTCATGTGGAAATAATACACATATTCGAATCAAGAAAAATTCAGTGCATCATGTTTGTCAGCGTCGGCTAGTGATCAGGTGAGGAGTGGCACCATTAGATCTAGTAGATAAAGTTAACATGTGGTCAATAGGCACTTTACTGCTTTAGTGTTCAGGGCTGTAGGAGTGGAGGGTGTTGTGTGTGTATATTTGGAGTGTGGGGACGAGATGAGGGGGGAGTGGTGGATGTGGCAGCATGAAGCAGGCAGGTGGCCACAGGGGGGGATGTGAGAGAGCAGGGCAGCTGTAAATTTAGGTCCAGATCTGAGCCTGGCCTTCATCTTTCACAGCCACACAGGAAAAGAGTTATCCTCCTGAGACACAAGCACACTTTACACCAACACACCAACGCACTCTCTCGTGTTTTTATACCACTTCTAGCACCCTTCATTTATTCACATGATCATCCTCTCTCACTTACAAGCCAGCACACACACGTGCTCGGCTGGACGTGGGGGGCATACATATGTTCCATATTTGTATTTTACGGTGCTGGGCCAGAGTCAGAGACCAAACTTCTTTTATTTAATTTGATTCGTTTTCAGTTTTGAGCAACAGTAAAAAAAGGAGGAAACATATGAAACAGAACAGCCCACAAACCAAAGATTTAGTGTGTCCCTCTTTGTCTTTATTACAGCTTCTATTCTTTTCAGGAGACTTGCTTTCAGTTTTTTAAAGGAATATGCAGCTTTATATGCATATATGCATTTTCTTCCCTCCAAAGTTCAGGCTTAGAAGTTGGTTGCATTTTCTGCTTCATGATCCAAATAATCCCAAACACATTCAGTGATGTTGAGGTCTGGGCTCTGGGGTGGTCACTCCATTGTTCTTAGAACACCAGCAGCTTTTTTGTTTGAGTTGCAAATTTCCAGTGTTCTCCTCTCTCTCAAAGATGAAAAGTAATGGTAAGGTAAATGTAAGTACTATTGATCTGATGGGGACAGTTTTTTGGTGGTCTACCACGGCTTGTATGGTTGTTAGGAGGCCCACATCTTTTATTAACTTAATAATTGCCTCTAAAAGGGATAAAGGTACTTAATTTTCATTTTGACTGGAAATTAAATAAATAAAGGGTGGTCTCTGACTTTTGCAGAGCACAGTATGTAATTAGCCAGATGTAATAATCTAACTTCAACCTCAGGAACCAAAAAGAAATGTTTTTACTTTTCAGTTCAAACCAAAATTAAACATGTAGCTTTCATAAAAAGCATTTTACAAAGAAAATGTATTAAAACAAACACACACACACACACACACACACACACACAACAAATAGAGGAATGTGTTTCCCTCCATGTTAAGTCCACCGGGACGCCATTTACTGTACACCACTGACACCTCGCCAAGTTTTAAATGCAAAACCACAGAAATTTTCACACACACACACACACACACACACACACACACACACACACACACACAGATGTTATATTTAGTAAACCAATAAAAATATAATTTTTATTGGTTTATTTTATTTCAGTACCTTTCTTACTGACCTGTGCATGTGTGTGTGTTTGTGTGAGTGCCTTTGTGTGTTTACATCCGTGTTCAGAGGCTCTCACTAGTCTTTGATGAGGGAAAAACACTCCACAGCCTGAGGGAATACAGTTAGAGGCATTTGCATGCTCTTTAGTGTAGCCGCTGATAGAGCGTTTACAGGTCACTCCACAGTGTGTTTATGGGCTCTTCCCATTCAAACCAGCTCTGCTGAACTGAGCTTTATCAGCTCGCTCTCATTATTCTATCTGCTCCAGCTCCTCTCCTCCATTTGAATACTACAGGCATCTTCCCCACACGCTCGTGTGTGCGCATGGCCACGTGTGCCACCAACTTTTCCACAGTGCTCATGTGTCCACTACTGTTACATGGACTAGAGCTAAATACATTCTTTTGTAAACCATTGTTTGCTTTCATTTGAGCTTTGATGAGAAAGTGATGCATTGAATTTACTTGATTCAAATGAATAAAATGTATTACATTAACCCTTTAAAATCCCAGGCTTATTATATACTAAAGCTTATTATTCAGTAACTTCAAGGACTTTGATGTGAACTGGTTGGGCAATTCTCAGGTTATAGAAGTGTGTAATAAAACTTTGGCCCTGGCCATTTAAGGAGTTAATATAATGTTGAGTTCTATGTATAAAATAAAAAACAAACACAAACTGTTTCAAAAAACACACTTTATTCACATGGCAGTTTAAAAAAATCGTATCAAAAATGTGTAGAAAAGTTTGACGTGTATAAAAAAGTGTTTGTACTTTAAGCTAATACAAAAAAGGCAGCAAATAACCAAAACGTTACTGCTAAAATGTTTTTGATTGGCCACAACAGTCTTGGTATCAAAAGTACATTGAAATATCAAAAACAAGCCGACTAGTTATAAAAGCAGTAATTTCAGTGTTTTTAGAACTAGTAATACCATTGACACTCTTGATTATAAAACAAACAACAAAAACAAACGAAAACAAAAACAAAACAGTGTTATGAAATTAGGCGTTAAGAAATGTCTCATCAGATCAAAAGCTCCTTTTTTTTGTCACTTAGGCCTTTGATTTGAAAACATGCTTGGTAAACTTTGCTTTCCTTTGCTAGCTTGGTAACAAATCTTAAACCAACACTTTTATTTTGTTCAGCTAAAATCTCGTAGCTTTGTTGTCAGGTTTGACACAGTGCTAATAGGAGGCAGTTTCGGTCCTGGGCTTTGACTGCTTTACTGCTTTGAAATGGTAACACTAAATGAAATGCTGGGTGTCTGTGAGTTTGCTGAACCACGTGACAGTTCAGGTTTATTTCTAAACTTGGCAAGGTGAACTAGGAGGCACTCGTATGTGCTTGGTTTGGTCAGGAATACATTGGCATAATAAAAGCCTTGTGTAGCGCATTCTAAAGCTGGCAGCACACTTCAAACGATGAACATGCAGTTGTATACTTAAAGCTACACTATGGAATGGAAGTGCGTGATTGCATGCGACGTGCGGAGGAAAATTTTGTGACATTGGCTATGCTTCGGACCCTTTGCCTGAGGGGATGAATCTGATGTTTGCAAGTGCTTTAAAAGAGTATTTAATGAGAACCCAGTCAAAACTAGGTGAAGGACGTTTTTCTGAGGATGTAAATGAATTATCTGTCATTGTATCGTCATCAGTATAATGTTGATTTCACATTTGAGACCTAAAAACATCACTTTTGTTTGAAGTACACTGCCAGCTTAAACATGGTTCTGTGTTCTCTGAGGCAGCACTGTTGGGCTACAGGGTATCAAATCATGATAATGCTTGCAGGATGCACACTCCTTACTGTTAACACACAATCAGTAATCTAGACATGAGAAGGGGGCACGAATACTGGGGTCCAACACTGGCAAATGCGCCCGTCATAGTTAATTATTTTTAATACAAAATAATAAATTATTACAAATTGTTCTTTATATTAAAATCCATACAATTACAGCCCTCATAGACAGTTCATTTCCCCATTTATAATACAAAATATATAATATAATATTATTAAAAAAGGTCAAAAAAGTAGAAAAAACCCAATATTTCTTTGGTTGGTCGAAAATCCAACTGGTAAGAGCACAGCTTAATTGATGGCCGTGCGGTCAAATGAATGGCTTTACGCCTCTCCCAAATTGTGTACCACAGTGACCTGACCCCACCTTAGGAGTGGCCACAGAGTGTTTTCTCTTTCCTTTTCTTTTCAAGATGATTGTCTTCTCTCTCTCTCACTCTCCCTCTCTCTCCTGCTGTCCTCTACATGACGAGTGTGCGGGAGGAAAAGCTGTTGAGGTATTTGTGTGTTGGCTCAGAAGGCAGGAGCTGCTCCTCTGATTTCCCACAAAGCACCTGCTCCCATGTGCTCAAATGCTGCAGGCAGAGAGATTGAGGAAGAGGAACAGTGAGAAGGAGGGGGTGAGAAGTGAAAAGATAAAGAGAATGTTATATCTCACAATGTGTATTTTTATGACTTTATGGCCTAATACAACACCTGGGGTCCTAAAGAAAAATAAACACAACCACAAACCATGATGAATTCCATTATACTAAATGGACCATGCTTCTTTCTGCCTTGCAAAACATCACAAAAGTCGGCCACAAAAACGTCTATATAATTCTATCTTGATGCTCCTCAGTCAAGTAAAGGAAAAAACTCGGAAAGAATTCCTCAAAACAAACATGCACTAAGAGCCACAGTGGCAGTAAATTAGTATAAGTACACATGCCATTTTTTGTATTGTTTCATTAAAGTTTGCTGAAAGATCTCATACAGAAGTCAAGTCGTCCTCACTTTCCAGCATTGCTCTGACTAGCTCCAATGTTAACGTTAGCATTAGCTCATCTGAAGGGGTACTTTCCACCACTAAATCCCTCTCCTTAATAGACAATGAAACCCTGCTGCTTTAACCTCGAGTGACTAAATTATTTTTCTGCATTGTTTCCACAGTCCATTTTTGTTAGTTTTCATTTGGCCTACAGTCATATTTTTATTTTTGAATTAAAGTGTTTCAAATGTACTCCTCTGTTTGCTTCTACATTTTGCTAAGTTCTATTGAACTTTTTAGCCTGTTAGCACAAGCGTTATGGATGCTACAAGGTGACGTGACCTAATAGTTTGTTGGACAGGGTAACAATAACTAAGGGAGGTGGGATTTTCTTAATGCAATTGATCAATTGTTCAGTACTCAGTACTGTTAGACTCTAAACCTGTTTTTGCATCAGATAAAACTTACAAAAGAATCTTACAGAGCTGTAGAACAACTACTGATGGAATAGATGACTGAAGAATTATCAAAGGAAAAACTGAACATAGAAATTACAGATGAAAGAGAAATTCAGAATAGAATAATTACTGAAAGAGGAGAAAAAGTGATGTGTGTTTTAATCTTGGTTGCTGGACAGGTTGCTGCTCAGGGGTAGAATTCTTTGCTCTGAACAAAGTGACATATTGAATTTACTTGATTCAGATGTGTCCATTTCCTCATAAATAAAATACAGTGAAATTAATTTCTTTTTCTTTGTATTTATATTGTGATAGTTTATATTGTTTAACCGTTGTTTTTTAATGTGCTTTATAACTAATTTACTTCCTTTTTCTTTTGCTTATTTTCAGCAATAACTGTGTTGATGTAACATATTTTAATGTAGAAATGATTTACATTTGAATCAAACAAATTCAAAGCTCCACTTTATTAGTGTAGTTAGAAGGAGTTGAACAGAATGTGCAGTGCACAGAAATATAAGGGCAGTATTACCTGCAGTGGGCTGCCCAGGGTTCTGCGGGGCATCTGTGGAGCTTTATGACCATCCTCACTCTTCTCTGCCCCAGGCAGCATCAGGACAGAGCTGGTCAACAGATCCTGCAGAAAACCAGAACAACAGAGGCCAGATATTACACCACTATTACAACACATACTAACATATAGTAAGAGAGTGAGAGACTGAGTGAGTGAGAGAGAGAGGCCAAGAAAGAAAGAAAGAAAAAAAATAAGGAAGTATGTTTCTATAAGCATCCATTGAAGTGTTGCTGAGTTTAACCAAAGTACACGGGTGAAAGGTCACTCACAGGCATATCGTGGGCAGGGCCACTTGAAGGGAATAGCTGGGTATGGAGATTTTGCCCCTCCCATTGAAGGCATGTTGGCTCCGCCTACAAACATAAAGTAACCATGCTATTCTAGTTCATCCTCAACTATGAATACACTTACAGTATGTCAGTGCCACCGCATATGAAAAGCAGAGCATATTTATGACATCAATTGTGTTGATGTAAAAATGAAAAAAACTTATACACATTTGAATGATTTAAATCAACACACTACTTTTCGCATTGTATAAATACTGATATTTGTTACATTATTGATAATAAATTTGAGATACTATTGCATGTAATAAGGGTTGGACTGACCTCTTGTTTGATCTTCTTTAGGGGGGCCTGATCAAGGTGCGCGCCCCCAACGCTCACTTCACACTCCTGAGGCTCCTGCTTAATGCCACCAACCACTGCCTCCACAGTAGGACTATGGGACTAAACATAACAGATACCCGTATATTAATACTCACATAGAAGTACAAGAAATACATATAGACCATTCACCCAGACTGTGAGGGTCACATACTGAAGACAATATATTGATAAAAAGTGATGCATTTAATTTATTTAATTTAAAGGTGTATGTCATTTTCACATGATTAAATAATATTACATCAACACAGTTTTACCTTTCTGTTTACTTACTTTTGCCAATAAATATGTTCATGTAATTTATTATATTTATATTAAAATGATGTAAAAAATTGAATAAAGTCAATTCTATATATATATCTCTTTTGTCAAACGCAAAGCCTCACCCTCTTCAGTGGTCCATATTTCGTGTCCTGCATGGTCAGTGCTGTTTTGAATGGGGTAGGAGTGCGAGGAGAACACTCCATGATGGAGCGCCTCAGAGTTGGTGTCCTGAACCTGCGGAAGGAACGATTCAGTTGCATAAAGCCTTGTCTACAGCCTTATCATAAACTTACATACAAACCCTCTGTCTTTTGGTGAACCAAACACAGCACAGCGGCAGTTTACGGTCATTATTTGGCCAATCTATGGATATGGTATTTAACTTTCTTTGGCTAGTAAGCAATGAAATATTGTGGTTTCATTTTCACATATTCAGATTTCTTTCTTTGGTAGTTTTCAAACAGGGGGTCAAAATAGGTTATCATGTGTAAACTGTTTTTGTTAGCAACCAAGACGATCTGCTTTCATATCTTTTTCATCTGAAATGGATGTAGAACCCAATTATTTCTGTGGACTGTCATAACCGCAATCGTTGCTGAACGACTATATCGCTATATTGCAAGATTATATATCTATATCGCAAGTAGCAATCATCAGGGATAAAAGCACTTTACCCATTGTAGAGACAGTAGAACGGAATTGATTTTTTTTTTTTAGAATGACTTCTATTTATAATATATGTGGGCTCTCATAGTGAGATTTTATACACACTAACCTTTTGACCTTACTATGTTAAGCACCATATTTTAACAACTAAATTAAAATACCTAGAAAACAGTACAATATTTGGACATGACTTGTATTTACACAGTGGTCGAGCTCAATGGACTAAATTCCAATTTCAGAAATTACCCTGGTGTTTTAGTCTCAGATGTGCCTTATTTTAATGTTAAATTCACAAAAATGTCTGTATTTTTTGTATTATAACAAAAATGCTGGACAATTTGGCAATTCTGGACAATGGACGTAATATAGTTCATTCATGTGAAAATTATACATAAACATACATCAATCAAAAAAAAAAACTGTCAGTTGCGTTCTTTAGAAATAAGAAGAGACAGAGTTCCTCTCCTTGCTGTCAGTGATTAGAGCACTCTTTAATGCTGGCTGTGTTCTTTGATGGTTCTTTGCCAAAGAGTTGTGAAAGGTTTCTATCTGACACCAAAACAAGTTTAATGTCTGAAATGAATTCTAAACAAACACAAAGCAGTTCTTACATGTCATTCTCTTTCTGGGGGCGGAGAGTAAGGTCATGCTGCAGAGGTTTCTGGGAGCACACTGATGTGGGCGAAACAGGTAGACTCTGGCTATCCGAATCTGGGCTCACTGAAGCATTTAAGAACTATTGGAGAGAAAGAGAGAGACACAGAGAGGGAGAAAACATCTGTCAGACACAACACTCTACATACTAAAAGAAAAACAGAAAATCCAGTTGTGTTACAGAAAGAAGCATGCATGTTGTTAGAGCTTGACAGGAAGATGTGAAAAAGAAGGCTTTCTAATTTCCCTGTTTCTTATCAGAATATGAAAGACTAAATGTTATCTCACCTCTGCTTAAAATAAAACTTTAGCATTATGTAATATACTGAATGCAGAGGAACAGTCAAATGCCAAAGAGAAGTATTTGTACACTGTGTAAATATTTGTGATACATAAATGCTGGGGAATACACTTTTCTCAAACGCTAATTAATCCATTTTACTCTTATTCCTCTGAGAAAGTAACAGAATGCTCAAAGCTTCAGACTTTAATGGAGCGTCAGGCCACAATTACCACTTTTGCACTCAGTTTCATTAGTGTGTTGAAATTTCATTTGGAGAACGGAAACCATTTCAGCATTGGTGGGAGAGCACAACCAGAAATAAAATCTTCCTAACTGCTGGATCAAGGTGCATACAGATGTATTAACCATGCATGTGATCTCAGAAGTATGATCTGACAAAAAGCAACAGCAAAACTGACACAACTCAATAACACAGTCTGCACTGTAAAAAAAGGTAAAATTTTAACACCAATGCCCTCACATTGAATTAACTCAAAACAAAGCTGGGAAGTACGATGCCTTACAATTTGAAGCTTTCTTTTTTTACAGTATGATGTTCAGTTCACATTAATGCTACATGATAGTGTTTACTAAGTTTTTAAGTATGCATCGTCACCTGATATCTAACGCAGCAAAGGAATTAGATGATGATCATGAAATGAAGGAAAAATCACTGATTGAGGGAGATGATTGGTCTAAATGTCATTGATTAGTGACTGATTGGTGCAGCAATGTGCTAATGGATCGGCAAGTGACTAATAGGATCATTCTAGAACTACTGCTGATTATTGGGTGACTTAGGGATCTCTTGGTGGGTACCTGAGAGGGAGAAAAAGGCAAGTTGCTCATGATAGAACGTTTGGGCGTGGAGCAAACAAATGACAACAAGCCGCTGTCCTCGCTGTGGGCCGGTGGCGTACAGCCCTCACCATCTGCAGCCTTACGCATTTTAGACAAGCTTCTATCAGCTGGAGTTTTCTGAGAAGACCAGGTTATGCAGTTATGTAGAGGGGCCAACGTTTAACCTCATGACTCTGCCGATCCACTAATTCATAAATGCCTGTGATCGTCACTGAAACCCATTTATATTAATGTTATAAAGGGGGCAGCGCATTCACAAAAGGCCAGCATGGCTGCAGGTTGCAGCCACTTGTTTAAATCAATAGGTTTCAGTTTTCAAACAACTGATTTATCCATGCTCTGCCCACAAATCTGTTCTTTGGTAGCTACTGTTTTGAAGTTGGACAAGCTACACAAAATAATGACAAAATTTCATTCAACCTAGTGAGAAATTATCATGGTCTTTATTTAGACTTGCTGCATAATTTCGAGTTTCTGGTTTAAATGCTTCACTACTGAGCTGGACTGTGTTGTTATAGCTAATTAAATGTAGGTAGGTTTGAAATGACAACAATGAATCTAACCTAAAAAAGAGATCTTTCATAAATTTTCAAAACAAATCAGTTTGAACACTCAAAACTCAGTTACTTGGATTAAAAACATGTTTATATGTTGTGTGCTATCATTTCTCATTAGGTTAATGGGATTTTTGCTAATGTTCTACAAAGCTTGCCCAACCTAGCAACAGTTGCTACAGAAGAAGGCATTTGTAGCCTGGAACATTGACTGGACGTGCTCCTGCTTGACTGGAATGAAAGCCAGCAACCATACCGGCCCTCTTGTGAATAAGACTGGACACCCTTAATATATGAAGTATGGTGTATCTTTCTTACTGAGTCGATGGCATCCATGAACTCCGGTAAGGCTGCCAGGACCACGCTGCTACCTGCATTGCTGCTGCTACTACTGCTGCTGCTCAAGCTGCTGCTGTTTGGGCTGTTCGTGTTGCCATGAGCACTCTCCTCAGGAAGACAGCCCTGCTCCAGGGGGGGAGCTGGCACCGACACGGCCACACCCATGGAGGTGTCAGTCAAAGAGCCCCGACCCCACCCGTAACTGGCCATGGAGATCTGTGAGAGAGCGAGAGAGGGAGAGAGAGTGAGATGGAGGAAGAGAGGCGAGAGAAAGGGAACTTGACTAGTTGAATGATGTGCGTGGGGGGGGGAGGGGTCTGTGTTGCACAAGGAGTTAAACAGAGTTTGTGGTGTGATAAGGGCACATTGCATCACTTAGCCAAGCAGTTAGAATGTGAAATAGACCCCCAGATGCTTCCTCCAATTAATCACAAACACACACACACACACACACACACACACACACACTCACGGGTAGTGCTTGTTGTCCCTTCAGCTCATTCTCTGTTGACATCAGAAGCATCTCAATCTCCTTTACCCTCTTCTCTTTCTCTGGGTCCTCTTCATTATAGTGTTTCTGAGACATGTAAACACAAAAGGGAAGACAAGTTAAGATAAAATACTATAAATATGCTTAGTTACATTAAAGACTGTTCAAAATACTTTTCTAATAGCTATTACGCAGAAATGTTTCACTGGGGGAAAATGCTTTGCTAACTGTTTGTAATGGATCATTGCTCTAAAATAGCTCTGCATTGTACTTGAGACAGGAATGCTTCACTGGATCAAATCCTTTACTAAATGTTTACAAAGGAGCATTGCTTTAAAACTGAGTTGAAGTAAAATTAAAAACAGTTGGTAACCAGTGACGCAATATGACTATTAGAGGTAGGCCTTCAATTTGGACCAAAACATCTCCATGAAAACACTAATTTCTTTTACCGCCCCTACGGTATTAGTATGTTTGTGCTAAGCTAACACTAATGCACGTAAACCTCTTTTGGCTGTTCTAGATTAAACAGACATTTCAAGCTTGTAAAAGACTACATGTTTACTTGAAGCCTGTAACAGATATAAGCATATATCTTTCCTTGTATGTAGCAGGTTTAGAGTGACTCTTTCAGTAAAAGGTTCTGGCATAGAGCTGCTGCCACTGTTTTCCTTTTCTAACAACTGACTGAATCCTGGTTAGACTATGGCTTATATATGGCTCACACAATCAGTGATGTATCTAGGACTTCTAAATGTTCCCAGGTTGATTCCTCTCTTAGTTGGTAGTTAATCTAATGTGTAAGGCATGTAGTTCAGCTCCTGAAGGCCTAACCAATGGGTCTTGGCTGTTTCTACCTAGATATCACAGGGAAAAATATCTGGATTGGTCAATTTTGCATTGGCTTCAACCAGAAAGCTAACCAGAACTTAACGATAAAATAAGGACAACACAATACCTGCAGAGCTTCAATACAACTAGCACAATGACACTATTAAATAAAAATGAACTAGTTCCTGGAAATCATCAGGCTTTAGAAGACTCTGAGGTTTGCTCACCTGTATAGCTGCAGTGCCATGCTGAGGGATGTTAAAAATGTTCAGCTGAAGAGCCAATGGAAACGGTACCTGAAGAGTGAATAACAGAGTGGGTAAATGTTTATATATATATATATATATATCAGTTAGATGTGACAAGTGTGTTATGTGTGAAACACTGAAAAAAATGATGAATTTAGCTGACTCATCATTTCCACATACATAAAACAATTACTGCCAAATGTAAGTAACCAACTTTACATAAAGCATTTTATTCATGTGGAAATGATGTACATACAATTAAAGGCATCATTTTTTCCAGTGTGCATCAGAGTGATTACAAAGGAGGAAAATATAAAAAAAAATGGTTTAAAAAAATGAATGGAAAAGCTCATAATGCCCCACTTGGTGTCTGTTTATGGGGGGAAGTCCCACTCCTCATAAAAAAGAGCCAATCAGGAAAAAACTTGCCTCTGGAACATTATGAACTATGTGATTCTGGTCAGATTTTACAAGTGATTTCAAATATGTTTTTGAAATGCCAAAGTGGCTTTCGGTTTCGAATTCATAAGTCTCTCCCCATTGTGGTCCTGTATGACTGGAAATAACTGTCCAGGGCGTTAACAAGCTGTGTTATGTATGTGTTAACACAGTGAATATGTTTGCAACTGTATATGCTGATGTATGCAATATAAAAGCTGTCAAAACATGAAGATGAATGTGTCGCTCACCCTTTGTGGGTCAGATATGTAGTAGGGGTACTGGCTAGTGATGGGGCTGGTTGCCATGGAGCTGCTGGTTGGAGTGTGGCTGTAGTTGAGCAGGTGGGGGGGTTTCGTGTAGGTGCTGGTTATTGGAGTGGGGCTCACTTTAGCAGTGTGCTGCAGATAGCCCTCCTGTTCCACTTTACGCCGCATGGTAGAGTTCCAGTGGTTCTTTATGGCATTATCAGTTCTAGAAATGAGAGGATAATTATTAGCCATCCACATAAACACACACACACACATAGTGACCAAAGTGCACTGAATTTTCTTAATTAAAATATCAACTTCTTGACTAAAATCATTTTAACAAATGTCATTTTTTTAAAAAGGGGGAACTCCATTGATTTTTCAAAATTTGTTCATAATTCAATCAATTCAATGGTGGTGATGGGAACCAGATGTCTGCACTCTGAAAGCTCCCTCACAGAAAGCTATTACATGAAATGGTTATGAAAACTGCTTGCCTGATGCCTCAGACATTGGTTTGTGATAGTTTTTAAATAAGCTTTCACTCTAAAACATGGTTTGGAAAACCTATTTATGGCAGAGGAGTCAAGAACCCTGTTAGGCAAAATACTACCAAAAGAAAACCAGTTATTTTCAGATTTATCACTATTTTCTAATTATCAACATTTTCTACAAAACCTCAGAAAATGCATGCAGGTTCACTAGTTCTTTTAGGTAGTGAATAAAATGACTATATTTGTGTTATAAACATTGCAACCCCTGATTCCTATCACCACCACCATCAGCAAATTTCTCTATTAATGAACCATTTCACATCAAACCGCTCTGAACGACTTTGTTTACATCTCAACAGTTGAATTATGCAGAAAATAGTGTAATTCATGTGGAAATTCATGAGGACTTTTTGACTCAAGTAAAATGAGTTATTTTACGTTTTGTTACAATGAACCTCACTAAACAGCTTTTAAGTAGAAGCAGAGGTCTGCTACTTAAGCCTGTGTTTGTTAGGTAATAGACGTGTTTTTATTTGAAGAACCATGCCTCAATTTCATGCCTGTGCAGACCTCTAAGGAAAAGTTTAAAAATGGTTTAAAAAACAAATATAGCACAGTTGGTTACTTCAGTTGGCAATAATTGTGTTGATGTGATACACTTAATGCATGTGCCACCACTTGAGATACTTGAATCTTATAAACTCAGAGCACCATTTTTCCGTGTTGTTTCCAATTGAAAATAAGTTAACACATCCTCTACAGAGAACACACTTCTGCACATTTAATGTACATAATTACTGTTAATTTTATGAGTTTACCATACTGTAAACAAAACACCACTGTAAAAAAATTAAAACATAAAATGTGACCTGTGCAAATGTTATGGTACATGATATATTTTATATTTTTCCAATTTAAAATGTGCAGAAAAATGCCATATTTAGGTTTTTTCTCTGTAAAGGATGTGTTAGCTTATTTTCACTTTGAAAATTGACAAAACATGTCATTTGACTAGGGGTGCTCAAACTTTTGCATACAACTGTACTTCCTGTTGATTTTAGATATTGTGTGAAGTTCTGTGGAAGTTGTAGTTTTTCCTAGAAGTCTTTATAGTGCTCTAACCTGCCCGGCAGCAGTTTGGCGATTTCCGCCCAGCGGTTGCCGAGCTTCTCGTGGGCCTGGTAGATGATGCGGTCTTCCTCCTCTGTCCAGGACGTCTTCTTTACCTCGGGGTTCAGGTGGTTGTGCCAGCGCTCACGACACTGCTTCCCTATACGGCCCTTTAAGTGCTTCGCTATCACTGACCATCGCTTGGGGCCATATTTCTGCACCAGCTCAATGACCTGAGAGTGAGCCAGAGAAAGAGAGAGAGAGAGAAAGAGAGAGAGAGAGAGAGAGGGAGAGAGGGAGGGACATTGAGCGCGGGAAAGAGCAGTGGAGGTAGGAGAGGGCCAACACAAACACAGAGAAAGGGAACTTGAATTGCGCAAGTGTGTTAAGGTTGCACACAGATAGTGGTATTTGGCTAAATATCTGTAATATCCACCTGCCAATGGCTGTCGGCAGGCCATAAAGATGATGATACAGAGTGGGCCACCTGCTCTGTACAGTTAATCATTACAGTGCTCAGTTCCACTCAGCAGAGCCAAGGCTTACTTTCTGCTCCTAACATTATGATAGTCTAAAAATGAAATAATGAAAAGTGATGCATTGAAGTTCACATGTTTAAGTGTGTGCATCTTTTCTACATTAATAAAATACATTACATCAACACAATTATTGCTAAAGGTAAACTGAAAGAAAAATGTGTTGGTGTAATATATTTTAGTCATGTGAAAATGATGGATGCAATTGAATCATGTAAATTTCAATGCATCACTTTTTTCATTATGTAGCCGAACTATCCAATGGTGTGCAAAAGTTTGGTCGTTTCTGGTCAAATTCTATTTTTTGTTGATTTTCTCAGTAAAACTAAGTGAACACATCGTCTCCAGAGAACACACTTCTGTATATTTAAATGAACAACTACTGTTTAGTGGCGGAATTTAACAGATAGGTAAAACAAATAAAAAAGTGGCCTGTGCAAAAGTTATGGCACATTTTATATTTTATGTTTTTGTTCTTTTCCCAATATTTAATTGCTTCTCAGCAATTAAACAGAAATTTTGCACTAAAATTTGCAGAAAACTTTTACTTGGAAAGTCAACAAGACATTAAGTTTGTTCCAGCTTTAGCATATAACTGTAGCTGTATGATGTACAGTTGTTGTGTGCAGGTGCACTGAAGCTGTAGTTAGGCAGCAGTTGTGTTTTTCATGGTGTTTAGGGTGTAGTTAGAGGTACACATACCCTTTGGTCCTCCTCTTTGGTCCAGGGTCCTTTAATAAGCTCAGGGTTGAGGACCTTCTGCCAGCGGTGCTGACACTGAACATCTGTACGGTTCTGCAACAAACACACACCCACACACATGGTTATTAATTTGCGTCAGTCTCAATCGAGCCAGTTCAATTAGCATGTGTATTTGTGAACACTGCACACAAACAAAATATATTATGTCAACACCACTGCTTGCTTTTAGTTTACTTGTTTTGGCAAGAATTGTGTCAATAAAACACATTTCATTCACTTGCAACCACCATGAAAAGTCAAAGCACTGTAGTGTAGTCTTGCACTGCAGTGCTTTGTGCCTGCTGTGTATCATTTTAAATAGGCAGTTTTTGCCTGCACTAACTGAAATTCAGGGCAATTTTATAAACACATGTAAGCACAAATGCAAAAAAAACAAACAAAAATTCAGATTATGTGAAGTTAAATAATGTCAGCTTCAGAATTTTATCATGTACACTGAAAAATGGTGCTTTAAATTGAGCACATTGAAATGTGTTTGGCAAATTAACAAAGTATGTTACATTTACCTAATTATACAACTGTTGTCTTACTTTCTGTTTACTTCATTTAGCAAGAATTGTGTTGAAGTAACCCAGTTTCTTAGACTAATATTAAGCCTAACCCTAGATAAAAAAGAATTACCAAAGCTGATTCACCATTGGAACTGCAATTTAATCATAAACCAGGCGTAATCCATGTCCGGGACCATTTTAGTGCTATTTTAGGTCCATTTGTTGTCCCAATACTCCTATCTTATTAGTTGAAATACTGAATATTTGCCCCTGTTCATTTCTGAAGCTCTGCAATACGCTAACAGGATGTCTCTGGTGTTTAGAGCTTGATTCTGTAATGGTGCGACAAGCCGAGGCGAGGCGGCCAGGTGTGTGGAATCCCCTCCTGGCGTTTCAGAAATGAAACATCTCCGCTTTCTGATTCTCACTCACTGTGATTTACACAATGCTGATCTATTTCTAAAACAAAACAAGTTGACATGCTGTGCCCACTGTATCAGCAGGTGCATGGTGGATTGTGAAACAATGCAACACCCCCCCAACCCCCACCACGGACAACCAACCTATAAGTGATGCCCAAATACGCAAATTGGACTGTGAACCATCAGATCTATTCTACCTGATCCTTCTAACCATTCACATGCAAATACTCATATCTAATACACCACGCCTAGCTTAACCCCTCTTAAAGTCTCAGAATACACACACACACACACTTACACACACACACACACACACACATACGTACAGGCAGGAAGCTGGCAATGACTTTCCAGTCTTCTGAACCATGGTGTTCCACCAGTCGCTTCAGCTTCTCATCCTGTGGAGAACAAGCAAACACCATCACAGCAGAAGAACAAACATAAACAAAGAAAAAAAGGTGGAACTTTCAAGATTGCTCAGTGGAAAACAGCAAACTTAGAATCACATAACAAGTTGCAATGCCATATAAATGAATCTACTGTGTTCAGCTCTACCTGGTCTACTGACTACCAAAACAAAAAAATACTCAAATCCTTTTAATAATAAATGAAAAAAAAAAACAAATCCTGAAAGTCTGTAAATAAAGACAGCACCATAATTATAGAGTTTGTTTTTTAAATATTCTTGTGATCTTGCAGAAGGAGTTAATCCTAGATGATAATTATCATTATCATGATGAATTACATCACAATACACTTTTCTGAGCATGCTGTGGACTGTGAAGTATCAGTATTGCATACTTTTGCCACATCACCCACCCCTACTTAATTCTTTGAACCCTAAGCTTATTATTAAGTTATTTAGTTAAACACATTGTTCAGTACTTACTATGAATTATGCAGTACCTATTATAAATTAACAATAAATACTATTCAACTAATTGGCACATTCAGTAGTTATGAAAGCAAGGAGCTGAAGTTCAGGCCTACATATGAACCCACATGAATCCAACAGTGCTTCTGCATACCTCTTCACGCGTCCAGCGTGTTTTGCCAAGGTGCCGTTTTCCTGTTTTGGCTAACGGGGCATCATAATCATGATCATAAATCTCCACATCTTCCTCATCTTCATCGCTGCTGTAAACACTATGGATGGGGAGAAGACATATGAGTGAGTGAGAGAGCAAGAGAAACAAAGGGAGAGGGAGGAGGGGTAATGAGGGGCAGCAGTGAAAGTGAGTTGGGCAAAGGGGAGCAGAGGGCAGGGAAAGAGAAAGGGGAGAGAAATAAAGTGAGAGAAAAGGAATGGACTTGTTACTAATTCATTTGTGACCAACAAATACATTTAATATGAATGGCACAGAACTTGTTCTGAGTAATTAAACTGGATGGACCCAAACAACATGTAAGATTTCAAATATGGACCATAACAGGTTAATGAAGAGAGTGTGACGGATGTTGGCATATTAAAAACAGCCCTATCCTGTCATTGTGTCATATATAATAGAAAAATTGAGCGATAACACAGTCAAAACAAAACCGGAGTGGCTGAACCTGTAGTGCCAGCAGGCTGAGAGAAACCTGTTCTGGTGTTTTTGGTTTCCACAGATACGCTAAGTGTGAACATGGACTGGCAGTGTTTCCTCACTGCGGCTTGTTCAGGCCTGCGCAGGTACTGTCACAGCCACATGCTCTACAAACTCACCTGGCCAGCTCTCAGCCAATTACAATAATGCACAGTGTACGTGGAACACCAAGCTCTATTGGCCTTTGTGTCGGCGCTGTGTGTGTATGTAAGCCTAGTGTTTATCATTACAGCTTAGTGATCAAACCTACAGATAAAAACAAACGATAAACAGGAGAGGACAACCATAAACAGGACAACAGGCTTGCAAACCTTATCCCATCCTCGGTTGAAGAAACCCTCCACCAGAGGATGTCAGGGATGCCTAGTCATTTTGAAAAGCTTTGTCTCATCAGGAGGGGATGAAATGAGTGTTGCAGCAAAATAGCCTCCTTTATTACGTGCTTGTATTGTAGCTGAATATGTGGGTTTGTTCATTCATGAAAACTGTATTGACCCATTAATGTCCATACCTGATTCAATTTTCTTCGTCAGAAGTCTCAAACTGATCATAGCGCATGGCTTAAAAGCGAGCTTTATCATTTAATTTATTATATGAAATTTAGTCTTTTGATCGAATTTAGCATTATGGTGAAAAAGCATATTACAGTTACATGTCATAAAAAAATAAGTATTTCAAAAAAACTTCAGAGCAATCCCTGCATCTTTTCCCATACCATATTAAACATCATATTTAGCAAAAATTCTAAATATTCTTGCAACTATATCTCTATTGTAGTCAAGCTAATTATAAATTCCAGCACGACTCGTTTTCTAATATGACAAAAAAAAAACGCTTCTATTTAATGCTAATATTTACTCATAGTAACACAACAACATACCTACAGTCCATAAAATACGCTTATAAAGTATATATTATACATTAAACATGCTATAGTTTTATTGGGTTAAATGACATCATCTACTATAGAACAAATCAAGCCAGTATTCGTTTACTAACGTGGACCGCACGCACACACACACGCTCAGCTTTGTCCTTAAGCAGCGCGAGCTGCAGTCATGCGCTCGTGCAGAGTCGCGCGAGTCATCGTGGCGCGTTCGCTGGCGGCTTTTTTTTTCATTTAAATTCTACGTTCTAAACAAAACAGAGAGTCTGTAACGGTTTCTCCACAGCTCAGAGTGTAAAAACAACAACGAGCTCGATTCGGCTCCGAGTTTGCGAGGATGAGCTCGACTTTAAATGCTGGAAGGTTGACGAACAAGCTGAGAGGAGCTCATTTCAGCTTCACAAATGCAGAAAACGGGCTAACAGTGACGTTTTAAAAGACTGACGCGACATTAAACGTGTTAGCATAAACTAGCAAAAGGTCCAAACGAGCTAGAAAATAGCCGCTAACGTTACCTCCAGTCTTTACGCTGCTCCGCGGTTACCATCGGCTCTCATTCACAACGTTTCCACCAGAAGAAAAAACTGCCTGTAATCTTAACGGAGCCGCACGTGCAAAGCGAGCGAGCGAATGAATGAATGGGTTGAGAAATGAAACCGAGCCGCTCCGTCGCCACCGCGCGGGGGTCCGCACGCGCCACACCGGGCGCTGAGTTAATCCACCTGTTCCCGCAGCGGTGCGAGCTAATGGACTTAGCAACCAGCGCGTGCACTTGAATTACTCACAACCATGTGCAAAAGAAACACATGTAGGAGTCGCGGAGGTTATTTCTGCACAGACTGCCTGCTAAAACGGCGCTAAGCTTCGTAAAGAGCTGAACTCGGAGTGTCCGAAATAGATAGAAATGTCTGTGGTGAGTTATGAGCGCTGCCCGTTGCCGTTACCTGTGTCTCGGGCGCCTCGACATCCCGCTGCTCCGTGCAAGGTGTAGAGTGTGAGTGTGTGTGCGTGTATCAGCTATAAGTTCCCAAGCTCCACTTTGAGAAGGAAGTACTGATATTAAGTTCACTAAAGGGGAGTGCGCACTATGCCAGACTGTAAACACACACACAACACACACTCACACACGCAGGTTTGTTTTTCTACAATGTCAGGACGTGGGGTCATATGCATGTGTTACACGCATTCTATGTGTCAGTACACGTATATAATAATAATATCTTCATGTATGTATACGTAATAGTAATATTTGCATAAAATATGTACATTATGATATATGTGTATGTATACGTAAGCACTTAAATAATATGACCCATATGTGTAACATATGTATAATGTTAGCAATAATAATATGCCCCACATATTAAATATATGTAAATACCATCTGTCTTAAATTATATCTTGAAGGGAGAACCCAGTGTGTCAGAGAGGGTAATGAAATATCCACTTTTCCCAGACCTATAACGTTGGGGTACCTCAGGGCTCTCTTTTAGGACGCTGATGTTTAATTTATATACTAACATTTTAAAGCTGAGTTCATGTGCTGAGTCTAAAATTCAAACATATGCTGACTGTACAATAATCCGTGTCCGTGACAAGCCAACTGGATATATGAGATTCAAGTTTACATCTAAATATTAAGAAATTGTGAAGACGTGTTTATTTGATTAAAGTAATAATACTTAATACTGATAAAGACTGTAAATATCCGCACGCAGTAATAAGTTCTAAGACTAACCCTGATCTTAACCTCAGAAACCCAAAAGAAATGGCTCTTTCAAGTTTAAAAAGTGAAGCTTTTTTCTTAAGAGGAGTTTTTGTGAAAAGCACTTTAGTGAGTCAGGAGCATTTTGTTGATGCCGTAAGTTAGCCCTGTTTTTCTCTACCTTTCTGTCTAGTTGAAGCAGAGTCTGTTTATGTCTAGGCGTCTTTGTCCTAAAAATGTACAAAAACAAGCACACAGACGCGCCCCCATCAGACAAAGCTCTCCGCTCCCTCCCGCTAAATTTGGCGCCTCTGGGTCCTGCGCATGCGCGGTGGAATCCACACGTCAGGTGCCATTCTGTCATTCAGAGCGCCATTTACTCCTCCGGTCGCGCTAAACTTTCTCTCCTATTGTTTTTGAGCTCTCACGGTTTGTTTCGGAGGAAAATGAGAACAGAGGAAGATATTTGTAACAGAACAATGCGTGCGAGTGGGGAGAGTCTGCTTAAGAGATTAAATTTACACAAATTTGGACCAGCCAAGCTTGTATATCTGTACTTGTGTCTGTTCTCAGTGGCAACACGCTGTGTCGTTTATTATTTTTTAGTATTTAGCCTGATATGTCGACTGACGGCGGCGCCTGCTCTATCCATTCGCTCTCACTTTCACTTTTAGAGAATTCGAAGGTTTCAGTTAGCTATTTTCTTTCGGTTTACTCTCAGATTGCCTGTAGGCTCATTCCAGAGATGTATGATAGACATAATCTTTAATCCATTAGTGATATGATGTGTAGTATGATAATGAAAAAATGCCACAGAACTTGTTCGGATTGGTCTAAGGTGATGAAATGTTGCATATGCATACCTCCTTTCATTTTCATACCCCCTTTTTAGACATATGGTTTGATTTATTTGACTTTTTTAGGCAAGCTCTAAGAGCATTTAACATCATTTAAAGCGCCCATATCACAGAAAAACAGTTCCCTCACTTTACAAATAAGAGTCTGATGTGTCACAGTGCATCACAGTATGTGAACATTCTTATATTTTTTAAACCCAGCCATTCACTGCCCAGTCCATACAGTGCATATGTGCAGACACTAACTATTCTATTTTGAATGCTTTTGTGACATCATGAAAGCCAATACATTTGCATATATTCAGTCTACAGCAGGTTAGCCCCTCCCACTCACACTGAAGTTATAAGGAGTGTTTCAGTCAAGACTACTGCTTTAAATGAGAAACAGCCAATCAGAACAGAGATCTCATGTATGTATGTATATATGATGTGTATATATATATATATATATATATATATATATATATATATATATATATATATATATATAGTAAAATGTTAGTGTAAAATGAATCAAATAAATGAATAAAAAAGAATGATAATGTAATGTGTAATGTCAGATATGGACATCAATAGGATAGTATTAATGCATTTTAATGTTGCAGTAGCTCTGTCTCAAAGATAAAAACAAGAAACTTGTGTCAGGTCAGATGTGATAGGCTGTTATTACATAATCATAAACTTTACAGTGAAAAAAGTTAGAGTGTCCTTCAATTTACCTATTTTGGCAATAGCTGTTGGTGTAATATATTGTACATATTTAAATCAGGTAAATTTAATGCATCGCCTTTTTTCAGTATAGAATGCACGCCATGAACTCTCTTTCTATTTCCTGTCATACTGTTGTGGTCACTTAGAATTACATCAGGCAGACTGAGCCATTGTCTCTGACCACTGATGCTCACGTGGAGCTGATGGACATAATGTTTTAATCTCAATGTGTTTACGTTTTGGTTTTTCAGTGTCTCTGCTTCAAGAAAAAGATGAGAAACTTGTGCTGGGACACACGTGGTAGGCTCCAGCCTATTATTGCGAAACCACAAATGTTAGCATGCACGCTTACCGTGAACATTGAATCTACTTGATGTGTACATGAATGAAATATGTGTTCAGCAGCACAGTTTGTCTTTCAGTTTACTTTTACATTGGTTTGTCTTCTTGATTTTGTTAGTACTTAGTACTTGTGTTAATGCAGTACATCATGTAGAAATGGTGCAAACGCATATGCCCAGCTGATCTATAGGATCGAACCTCTATATATTGAGTATATTTTGTTCTCTCTGCTCTTTCTTGCTCTTATTTACTGTCATACTGTTGCAGTCACTTGTAATTACATCAGTCTGATCAACCCATTGTCTCTGACCACTGATGCTCATGTGGAGCGCAGCTCAGAAATGTGGCATTGTTGTGTCCCCGCGTGGGCCGGACATGCTCATCCATGCATTGCAACAAAAGGCGGGAGATTTTGGGGGGCACATGAGATTTCAGTGGGGGGGGGGCATGTTAATTACAGACAGATTGCTGTGAAATGTCAGTGAATGACAAGTTACTGAACACAGAGGAGAGAGATCAAAGTAGTGCTACTCTCTTTAAAAGGATGGTTCTTCAAAGGTTCTTTAGTGAAGAAAGTGGTTCTATATAGTTTCTGTAATTTTTATCTTTGGTATTATATATATTGTCTACACAGTAATAAGTAACAAACTTTAACAGTGTTCAGGTTAATTACCTTGTTTGTTAATTCTCTTCTTGTTACTTCTTTTCTTGAGTGCCTTGCTCTCCCGTAGCTGCTGTAGCACTGTACATTTCCCCATTGTGGAATAGTAAAGGATTATCTTATCTTAGAACCATGAACACTCAAAGAAACTTTTGCATAATTAAATGGTTCTTTGCATGGTGAAATGGTTCTTCCGATTGATGGAGAATGTGCTGCATAGGGTTCTTTATAAAACGTTATTGAAAAGGGTTCTTTATATCACCAAAAAGGTTCTTCTTCTGTTACAAGCTTGACATTGTAATAATAGACGTACCCTTTTCGGTGCTATATAGGAATCTTTTCAAAAAAGTTCTATATAGAACCATATACAACACATTCTTCATCATTCGGATGAACTATTTCATCATTCTGATGATGCTGGAGAAAGTATTATTAGATCGCAATCCCTGTTAGATGTTTTGATTTTATTTTTTTAGTTTATATACATATATATAACTTGTCGTTTGTTATCTATTTTTCTTAGTTTAATTACAACTTTATAAATGTTTTAACTTATTTCCTTTCAGTCAGAAACAGTGTCAGCGTATATAGACCTTCACATACAATGTTGACCTATTTTTAGTTTGTAAGTCAACAAGTAACAAATGGTCTAGTGTGTTTTAGTTCAGTTGAGACTACTCATAATAAAAGGCAATACATACTTCTACTCTTCTGAGAAGGCTTTACACTGGCTGTTGGAACATTACTGGTTGTTTGAATTGCAGTGTTGCAGTTCAGACAATTGCAATGCAATGTTGAAAGATTAGTTCTGGATTAATCCAACTCATCCCTAGTGTTGTTATCAAGACCAAGACCAGAATTTATTATTTTATTAGACAGTATGTTTACTGTCTAATATATCTCAGTCCTTGACATGTGCCACTGTTATGAGATATGGGTGGCCTGGATCATCAAGTTATCGGCAAATGGGCACAGATATTTGGTAGGCCTCTACCAGGCTACCTTTTTGGGTGGTCAGTGAATTTATATGATATCACAGCAGACTAAAGGCTATGGAGCACCCCTATGATAGCATATAAACAACAGTGTTGGGCATATCAGTTGCTACAAGCCCTTTTTTTTCATTCGAGAAAAAACAATAGCAGAATACATACACATTGAGAGCACAGATTAACACACACCCAATAACCAATGCAACACTCCCCTTTAAAACATGCGTCTGTTCTTCACAAGCAAAACATTTACGCAAATGAAGACGCCATAAAATCAGACAGCTGAAATCTGGCTAAAGCATACTGCCAAAGCGGGCGAAGAAATGTTTTCATTTTCCCATTTATATCTTACAGGTCACTGCTGACAAGGACAATGCAATTTTTTTCTTTAACTTGGGTAGCTGATATTTTATTTTTGGTTTTGGAAATGGGCACCCTACTTCTGCTTTAATACAACTGGTTTTAAAAAGCCATAATCCATTTGGCCTCATCATTTCTCCTCAGAGAGTTCCTCGTGGAATCTTAAGGGCTGTTCCATTACTCCATTACTGTTCACATTACAGAGGTGCTCAATCCTGGTCCTGGAGATCTACCACCCTGTAGAGCTCAGATCCAAAACACCTGGCTCCAATTGCTCCTGAAGGCCTTTATTACCTGGATCAGGTGCATTAGATTAGAGTTGGAGCTAAACTCTACAGGGTGGTAGATGTCCAGGACCAGGACTGAGCACCCCTGCTTTGTTAGCTCAAATGAAATGTGTTAAACATGTCCTCAGAGGGGTGAGGCATCA